GGGGGGGGGGGGGGGGAGAGGTCAATTTAAGTAAGAAGTCAATGAACACGCAGATTATTCGAGTAGGGGAAGATGGCCAACAGTTCTTGTTTTAATTTCCAAGTGTCCTTAACTCTAGTTACGTATGCTCTTCGTTGTGAGCGACGGTTGGACAAATTGCTTTGACAGATTGACTTGGTTGAGCCGACTTAGATCGTGTAGTCTGCTTTCCTTACGAAATGCGAACGGGCATCGACTCCGGTGATGCTGCGACAATTTTTTATTTTTTTTTTTCTCATGTCTTTGGATTTGTAAGCCTCACGGGTGGAGGATGTGTCATTCCTTTATCCCTTTGGAATTGCAATCTTCATGTGCGGAGTTTATTCATGCCGAATAGCGGAATCCGATAGGGACTGCAGTTCATTGATCGACGAAGCAAAAGTCTTCCTACCGTCTTCCCGCGAATAGAACGCACGGTAAGTTGGTAATCATCGCTGTGTTTCGACTGAAAGCTGCCCAGCGATAATGACATGCGTTCTATTTGGGACAAGACAATGGAAGGAGGAAAACGGGGCGCGATGTAAGATCTTGAAAATTATTTTCGCGAATCTAGTCGAGCTCTTGACCACCACTGAGACCTCTTTCTTTTCCCTCCTTTTTTTTTTTTCCCTTTCTTTGCGAAAGGACGATATCCTTGGGATGTTATCATCGTGGATGATGCTTCCAGATATCAACAGGGAGTAATCTCGAGGATCGCCGGCCTCGTAGCTTGTTTATGAAATGAGATTTGGATTTGGAGTTGCCAAAAAAAAGATAAAGGAAAGTGATCTTGTCGTCGAATTGACTGGCCCTAGGTAATTCAGAGTTGTAGTATTTCACTCAGCTGCTTCCAGTGGAGTTTGTGAACTCACGTCCGTATTTCAACAGTTGAAGTGTGTACCACCTGAGCCTAGGCCAGTTGGTCTTTCTTTTCTTTTCGCTTTTCTTTTTTCGTACACGAGCCCTACCCGTTGACATGTCGCCCGTAACATGACAGTTTGTTTTGACTTTTCCGTCAATCGATACGGATAAATATGACCGTGTGTCTCTGCGTGTGCCATTGGGATAAACGCTTGTATATACCGGACACGGAAGAGTGGATAAATGCCAGGCTGAGCTCCCTACCGTCTTCCCCCGAACGCAACGCACCGCTTTGTTGTGTTTTTTTTTTGAACATTCAAGGCTCCATCTATTGGTGGGGAGCTGCACAGCCTGCACGTGCTGGAAAGCGGGTCCAGCGTCATTTAGCATAGAGCTGTAATTGAAACCGAGAGCTGAATCCTTCTGTGTTGATCCGCCTCTTCATCTCGTCCTGAGCTGCCATCTGACGCACGCACCCGGATAATGAATGTATACAAGTCGTCTTCCCGGTCTGGTGCAGCCAAAATGAGGGTGCGTTGTGTAGGGAGAATCGTTAACTTCTGAGGGAGTACCACGCTGGGTGAAATGGATGGTGTGAGACTGTGAGTTTGGCAAATGCTCAAGCAGCTGTAGGTTCGCAACTTCGCATGCGTTGTGTTTGTCCACAAAGTTCGTTCAATGGTCGTAAAAAATCATAAAAAAATCGCAAAAGTTTGTTCAATGGTCAAACATTGCTATTTAAGCCTATCTTCTCTTTTTAGAGTCGATCAATGCAAAACACGAAAACAAATAAAACAGTAGTTAAAAAAAAGAAGGATTGAAGAGTGTGATTATTGCTGGAACATATTTATAGGGGTCTAATAATTCAGGTGCAAATCAAAATCCTGTTTAACGAAGGTGGTCCCCACATCTCGATATATGCCTGTCAAAAAAAAAAAAAAAAAAAAAAAAGGATGGATCCCACCCATTTTGAAAAAAAAAAAAAAAAAAAGAAGGTTCCCACACAAATGGCACTAGCAACGAGCGGAAATGATTGAAAAAGTTGGAATGGATTTTTTTTTGGAAAAGAAAAAAGAAAGGTCTACTGTTTGAGAACCATTGGCCGACCAAGGCGGCGAAGGCGCTCTGGGAGTCTGGGGTTCAAACTTTTTACCTCACCGATTGTTTGCCGTCAATGGGATCTTACCGTGTCGCTTTTTTTTTCTTTCCCTTTCTTGTTTATTTTGTTTTCCAAATTGTACCATTTCTTCGATTTTTGTGCGTGTCATCCTTGTGAAGAGACCATGCTAATCGTCTATGTATCACTTTAACGGATGTCGCCTCTTCTTTCGGAAGCGCAGATCAAAGCTTGAATTTACTGAGGAAGTAGACTGCGCAGGCAGTGGAACCCGTTCATGTTGCTTAACGGTATCCGTGTTATTGTTAATAAACAGATCAGTAGTTCAAGTCCTTTTCCGAAATCGGGCATCGAATCAGAATGCAAAAGGGCTTCTTGGTGTAATAAGTGTTGAGACCTTTCGTTTCGCCTGTGTTTTCGCACGCGGATTGGCTCCGGTTTTTCACACTGTTCGATGTCTCTCCGGTGTACATAGTAGGAGGGGTAGGCGTCTGTGGAGGATGTCGTCCAATCAATTTATGGGCCTGCATGTTGAAATTGCTAGCCAATTCAGGGGATGCGTGTATTTAAGTGCTAAATTAAATCGAGTAATAGGCATGCCCGAATGCTTAGGTTGCTTTGACTGCGTCCTCTTTCTCTTGCTCTTTCTTTTTCTTTTCCTTTCAATTTTCCCTTTTTTTTGGTTGTTTCGTGGTTTTTAAATCTTTTTCTAGGTTCGGCTTGCCCAGCCCAACTAGTTGATTATTGTTTTGAAGGACGGGTAGGCGTCTGTGGACGATATCGTCAAATCAATTCATGGGGCTGCATGCTTAAAATTTAAATCGCTAGCCAATTCAGGGGATGCGTGTGTTTAAGTGCTACGCAAGCAATTAATGAGGGTGGCACTGCATGTTTTAATTGCTAATCGTCGTTGTTGCGTGTTTGTGGTTTCGGTCTGTTCGATCTTCACTGTCACGTTGTCCTTGCAGCACAAAGGACCCGGGACAAAAGCCTTTCGAGTTCAAGGTGGGCCTTGGTGAAGTGATTAAGGGTGCGTAATACTATCATTTGATGTCTTGTCACATGTTTTATACCAGCAACGGTATGTAGAAGGCGATTATGAAATTTGACGTGTGCCGGTCACTGCCGGACCAAATAGCAAGTTTATGCCAGTAGGGGTACTAATGCCACCATGGCATGTGCCATCATTATTCACCCATCCATCGCCAGCCCGTTCCTGCGCAAATCGAACAGGATAGACGTCGATCAGTCAACCCAATGACGGGCGGGCGGATTGAGTAAGTGTCTGGCTTGGGGAGGGTGGACCGTGGAAGTTCTCGTTTTCTAGGGAGTTAAATTCAGTTAATCCATGTAGACTTTTAATTAGTAGATGTTTGTCGCGGAGTAGGTTGTCTCATAAAAGAACTGAACAAAGAGTCCTTTAGCTGTAACTTCTAAAACTTACATTGTTCATAATAAGAGAACTGACCGAGTAGTCATAGAGCTGTTTCACCGGGAATCCAGTAATCGGTTCGAACTGGCAAGAGCAGTACAGACTGCTCGAGGATGAGCCTCTTGTGGCCATACTTTTAACTCGGGCGAATTTATAATATCGTGAAGGAAGGGCCATCACCTGGCACGACGTAGACGCAGATCACACTGAGGTCAGGAACCAGGAAACGCCTCCGATACTCTCACGGGTCCATCTAAACTAGTGATGGTTTTCCTGTTACTCAGATCTCTCTCTCTCTCTCTCTCTCTCTCTCTCTCTCTCTCTCTCTCTCTCTCTCTCTCTCTCTCTCTCTCTCTCTCTCGCTCGCTCGCTCGCTCGCTGTCCTTTTGTTGTTTGTTCGGGAGTGTGGTGGGCGTGGTGATCGCGATGTCTTTGGGAATTGAAGTTTCGTAAAACGTCCCGGTTAGTTAAAGTTGGTTCCCATCAATAACCATCGTCGTATTGTTAGTGCTCATCATGTGTATTTATTTTTGAAGTCAAACGCAGTGGCCAAGTTGGCGTTGAGATGGATCTCTCGTCCTCCTTCCTGCCTTCTCCTAGATAAACAGAGGGGTAAGCTTGTATATTCGAACATGGTTTGGTTTCAACTTGTGATAGACAATGAACTATTACGGGTCCATTCATTGAGTTCCCTGCTGGTTAGTATGTCGATGTTGTTGATATGTTAAAGGACTTGGAAATCGGGAATACCCGTTGAAAGACTGACGGCTGGCTGTTTGCGGCTGTTCATCCTCCACATGTGCTAAGACAGTGGAGATAACGAGAGAGAGGCGAGGCGGTGCAGATCCTCCTCACCGTCCTGGCCCATTCACCAAGAGAAGCCTGACCAGCTGAACGGGTGATGACGTTCGTGGTCTCATTTCCTTGTTCCAACGTTGCGGTGAAACTGGCCACATCATCCCACATGTCTCACTGTGTGTGCCTGGTTTCCTCGTGCGTGCTTGCAGGCTGGGATGAAGGGGTAGTTACCATGAAAGTTGGAGAGGTTGCGCGTCTTACGGTGAGTGTGGCATCAACGTTGTGCTCAAAACAGGAGGGAGATCTCTATGCCATCTATCATCTGTCTATCTATCTTTTGATTCTTGTCTATTTGTTTGTTTGCCTGTCTGTCATAACAGTGTTGTTCTGTCAGTCTGTATGTCAATTGACCGGTTGGGTTGAGTCGAGTAGAGTCGAGTCGAGTCAGGTCAGTGGTGAAATCTGTGCATTTGATGAGGCTCAGGTAGAGCATCTCATATCTTGTCGGCTGTCTTATCATGGAAACGAGGCCAGGCTCACAGCGTGCAGCCATTCCCAGATTCACGTCTCTGAAGTGGGAGCTTTAAGCTCGTTCAGGTCCTTCACTTTACTCCCCCCCCTCCCCYCCTTTTTCCTTCTTAAAACGAGGGTGAAGGCCTTGGGATATCATCATTGAGCTTATCTGCCATTTAGGATCTCGCTGACATCATGAATGTTTAGTATCAGTACTTGGAAGTTGGAAGACGTTCCTTTTAACGGCACTGCATGAACATTTGATAAATAATCTAATGCATGGAAATTGTGTCGAATTCACGGCTGAGGAACTCAACCTGGAAGCACTGCAGGTTGCGTGATTGCCACTGATTGGTGACACTATCAATTAGAAGAATATTGAGACAGTCGATTTGTCAGAGTTTGGATTCGACTCTTGGAAGCTCCGCTCCGTATTAGAGGATTTTTGTTTTTTCACTACTGTACCGCCAACGATGTTGATGGTCCATGACTGAACTTCCTTCGCTTCTGCTATCTGCACAGACTCTGCAGTACGTGTAATCGAAAGGCCATTCATTCCGTCATCAAGCACTCGCAGCTAGAGTAACGTATTGTCGGCATCTACGATCTAAAGACACTGGGCCTGGACGCCAGCAGTGAATGGAATGGAAGTGCTCCCGTTGGGAGCATCCAACCTATTGGGCAGGCCAGGGTAGCTGGGCGGTTCCCTCTAGCCGTCGGTCCCCCGAAAGGGTCTGATGGCTGGCCCGCCATTTTGTACCCCTGTGGGGGTTTCATTTTTTATTTAATAATAAAAATAAAAAATATTGGCAGTGCTGGCGGGCCCCGACTGCCGGGGCCAGGCCCCCACGCCACAGAAATGGGGTTGCCCATCCCCCCTCTGGCCGTGGTGCTTTTCGGTGGGGGTGCAGTGGGGGTAGGATGGGGGTAGGGCGGGGTTAGGACGCTGCTCTAAGGTTAGAGCGGGGACCCCCCGTCCCGCCCAGATACTTAGCGCATGAGAATAGATCTGGAAGATCGAACCAGCAATCTGTTGTGCATGCAGAGTATGGGCCAAATGGATACGACTTGAAAACCAGAATCCAAACTGAATAACCTTGGAGGCTTAACCTGATCAAGCTTTTCATGGAGTATCTTTGTCATTTCACACCCCACTACTGCACAGTGCATACCAGATGAGATAAACCTCGTCCCCACTTGTCACACCTAATCCAGCCCGAGGAGTGCAGCATAGGACCGTGGTGGTGTCTTTTGATCTGTACTTCATGCCTCCTAAGAACGATTTGTGTGTGTGATTCTGAGTTTGATGTGAGATTCCGTGAGAATGTCGCCAAGCAGATTGCACTTGCCATGGATGTATGTGTTGCACTCTTAAGACTTATCTACACCCTCTGCACGTTTCAGTTGCCCGATGCCCCACTGGCAGCCTCTTCACGAGGATTTACTCCTTACAGTCATCCATTCACAGCTCGTATGTAAGCCGGCGGCGTCTTCAGGAAGATTCACTATGATAATCAAATCACAGCTCGTATGTGTACACCAGGCTCGACGCAATCCGCCCCCAATAAGACGAATGTTACTAGTAGGTAAAAGGAAGTATACGGAATCCAAAAGTCTTGTCATGAGGGAGGATGAAACAAACAGAGAAAACTTGTGGAGGGTCGTAGCTTACTCTGAGCTACAGTTTGAGCTGAGAATTGTATGAGCGGGCTGGTGCGGCGAATTATAGTTATAGAAGGAACTTTATCAAGCCGGTACCAAAGCCAGCTGGGCGAATGTGTGCGCGAACTGAGACTTGTATGCACTGTCAAAGAACTTTTGAAGCGTGTATGAGAGGTAGTTGGCCCCTGTTTTCACTATGTAATACGTATTGATCTCCGTATGGCTTGTTATGTTAGTTTGGGAAACTTAGGTCCCCTCTGTCGGTTGTATTCTGACAAATATGCAGCAAAAGTTGCAGAAATACCATTTATCAAAAGTCTCGAAGCAGATGTACCGGGTGGTTTTTTAACTGGGGGGTTCTTTCTTTCGCGGCAAAAGAGTATCCACCGGCCCTGGAGTGCTTGCCTGAGGCCAGGCGGAAGGGGCCTCTGTCAGGAAAGACAGTATCGCCCGGTAAATCTGCTTCTGAACTTTGCGAAAGGAGGTACTGTCGGTGTTCCGAAGCAGATTTACTGGGGGGGTCGCCACACATCCGGGGGGGTGTTTCATGGGAGTTTTGCAAAAGGAGGTACTGCCGGGTGTTTTGAAGCAGATTTACTGGTAGGCTCACCACACAGCCTTTCGAAACATGCAAAATGGATGTCACATCTTTGCCACACAGGCTTTCGAAACAAGTGCCATCACGTCGAAAGGCGTTTCGAAGGGGCAAGATCCTCCCGCCTGTCACAAGTGTTTCTTCAAAAGCCCGTGAGTGGTCTTGTGAAAAGGGCCCTCTCGAAAGGGCCTATTAGCAAAAAGAAAAAAGAAAAAAGGGGCGAGTATAAGGGTCTGGCTTCAGTACTCTTGGCATGCACAAAAGACAAAAATCATGGCGATGTATCTTCACATGTTCTAGCCGAAGATTCACTCTCTCATTTTGCATGTGTAGAGAGTAGTGGAGCGAGGCCCTAATGTCCATCATATTGAAAGGCCTCGGTGTTCCGAAAGTCTGTGGCGAAGGGGGGGTTCATTTTTTCGAATGAAGTCTGAGGCTGTGTAGCGAGCCCCTATACACCGTCGGGCCCGCCCTGGAGTACTTGCCTGAGGCCATGTGGGCGGGGTCTCTGTCAGGAAAGATGGTACCACCAGGTAAATGATCCGTAAATCTGCTTCAAAACTTTGTGAAAACGGTATTTACTTGTGGCCAGACGGGCGGACTGGTATACTTGCTACCTATGTATCCCCCCTGGCGGCCGAGGCCGTGGCCATGGCTGTGGGTCAAAAACAATTTTCAAAAAAAGAGAAAAATATTGCTTGATTGATTGATTGATTGATTGATTGGTGGGGGGGGAGTTGCCACTCCCCCTTACCCTCACACGAACACACACACACACACGCACTCACTTCGGTTGATTGATTGATTGATTGATCAGTGGGGGAGGTGCCCCCCCCCAAACACACACACACACACACACACACACACACACACACACACACACACACACACACACATGCACACATGCACACACATGTGACGCGCAACCTCACGCCCTGCACTGTCTTCCGTTCGGAGTGTTTAAATTGCGGAAGGGGGCCCCAGAAAGACAGCGAGATGGGGTGTGCCAAGATTTTTGGAAAATTGAGTGTGGGGACACGGACATAACCGAAATCCCCTGTGCTGATCCGACTTAGTAAGAAGGGAGGGTCCGTCACTGCGCGGGTTTCAAGGGAGAAAAAGGAGCGTGCGGGACGCTCGGCGCGGGGAAGTTCAATCCAAAAAGTATCGTTGATTCGATGTTGAACTTCCCATTGGGCCGTTGCTTTCCGCTTCGCGTGAAAGGGAGCGGGGACGCACTTGGTGTCTCGCTTTCGGATCAAGTCCTGACGCTGCTCACTGCATAACTCGGAATCTGACGTGGAGGGTCTCAGCTGCGTAGCTCGTTCCTTATGCTCGTCCTCACTCTGTACTCGGTAGTGGAAGCCTTTTGATTGGTAACGCTCGAAGCGACAACAATCGCTGGATAGAGTGTTAGGCCAATGGGGCGCCACTGCCGTCCATTGAATGACGATCAATTCATTAAACGGTAATAGCAGTGAATAAGGCGGAAAATGTGTATCGATAATGACAAAGCCAGCACCAATAAACCCTGAGCACCGAGTTTCGGCAGGGAAATAGTATCGGTCGCCGATCTTGGTGACGGTTTGTCGTACGTCCCACTCACATACACATGTCATTTTCTCGTTGTACGGGAAGGGATGTGGCGGGGATACGGGAGACCGACGCCCGGTCGGGTTGAGGCCGTTAGTCCACATGGCAATCCAGTCAATCGCAAGAGTCGGTTTCAATCATTCATCGTTAATTCGACAGTCGTGATGATTGAAAATGCACAACCTATCGATCGGGTTTTTTCGGCCGTCGCCTTTATTCGCTTTAGACATGCGAAGCAAAGTGAGAGCACTCCTCTATTTCCTCAAAGGTAGTTGAGAGAGAGAGAGAGAGAGAGAGCATCCGTAATGATCGGATGGTCTCGTCAAAAAATTTTCAGTACTCACATCAGATGGGGTACAGTCAGTAATCCACGCATGTAGTTCGCACGTGGCGCCCTCCTTCTTTCTGAGAAGATTTGCGAATCGAGGGCAAGACGCAGATGGTATGCGTAGTGTATTCCGGATTGAAGATCTCAGGGTATTTCTTTCGCAATCACATCATCGACAGATCTAAACACTCTTGCATTATCGAACAAAATCCCAACATCATTGCTTTTGCCAATAACTTAACAGTCTTAACTATTCTCTTGCATTCCATTCGCAACAACTCTTCAGCCTAACCAAAGACCAGTCCATTAATGACAATCTACATTCGTGGTTTTTCATCGCGGAAGGTGCGAAAATGGCAGCCATGCATCATTCAGTTCTCCGTGTGCTCTGCACCCGTGCCCCGTCATCCCATGGCTAATCAAAACGTCGGCCCATCAGGCAACCATTTCATGACATGCATACATAGTCATTCATATCATAAGGTAGGTGGGGAGAAGAAGTGCGAAATGTATGCAATAGATGACAATCATACAGAAATCCGAAGATGGAAAGAATTTCCGGCTTAACTGT